AGAAGAAGAAGAAGAAGAAGAAGAAGAAGAAGAAGAAGAAGAAGAAGAAGAAGAAGAAGAAGAAGAAGAAGAAGAAGAGAAGAAGAGAAGAAGAAGAAGAAAGAAGAAGAAGAAGAAGAAGAAGAAGAAGAAGAAGAAGAAGAAGAAGAAGAAGAAGAAGAAGAAGAAGAAGAAGAAAGAAGAAGAAGAAGAAGAAGAAGAAGAAGAAGAAGAAGAAGAAGAAGAAGAAGAAGAAGAAGAAGAAGAAGAAGAAGAAGAAGAAGAAGAAGAAGAAGAAGAAGAAGAAGAAGAAGAAAGAAGAAGAAGAGAAGAAGAAGAGAGAAGAAGAAAAAAGAAGAAGAAGAAGAAGAAGAAGAAGAAGAAGAAGAAGAAGAGAAGAAGAAGAAGAAGAAGAAGAAAGAAGAAGAAGAAGAAGAAGAAGAAGAAGAAGAAGAAGAAGAAGAAAGAAGAAGAAGAAGAAGAAGAAGAAGAAGAAGAGAAGAAGAAGAAGAAGAAGAAGAAGAAGAAGAGAAGAAGAAAGAAGAAGAAGAAGAAGAAGAAGAAGAAGAAGAAGAGAAGAAGAAGAAGAAGAAGAAGAAGAAGAAGAAGAAGAAGAAGAAGAAGAAGAAGAAGAAGAAGAAGAAGAAGAAGAAGAAGAAGAAGAAGAAGAAGAAGAAGAAGAAGAAGAAGAAGAAGAAGAAAGAAGAAGAAGAGAAGAAGAAGAAGAAGAAGAAAGAAGAAGAAGAAGAAGAAGAAGAAGAAGAAGAGAAGAAGAAGAAGAAGAAGAAGAAGAAGAAGAAGAAGAAGAAGAAGAAGAAGAAGAAGAAGAAGAAGAAGAAGAAGAAGAAGAAGAAGAAGAAGAAGAAGAAGAAGAAGAAGAGAGAAGAAGAAGAAGAAGAAGAAGAAGAAGAAGAAGAAAGAAGAAGAAGAAGAAGAAGAAGAAGGAAGAAGAAGAAGAAGAAGAAGAAGAAGAAGAAGAAGAAGAAGAAGAAGAAGAAGAAGAAGAAGAAGAAGAAGAAGAAGAAGAAGAAGAAGAAAGAAGAAGAAGAAGAAGAAGAAGAAGAAAGAAGAAGAAAGAAGAAGAAGAAGAAGAAGAAGAAAGAAGAAGAAGAAGAAGAAGAAGAAGAAGAAGAAGAAGAAGAAGAAGAAGAAGAAGAAGAAGAAGAAGAAGAAGAAGAAGAAGAAGAAGAAGAAGAAGAAGAAGAAGAAGAAGAAGAAGAAGAAGAAGAAGAAGAAGAAGAAGAAAGAAGAAGAAAGAAGAAGAAGAAGAAGAAGAAGAAGGACGAAGAAGAAGAAGAAGAAGAAGAAGAAGAAGAAGGAAGAAGAAGAAGAAGAAGAAGAAGAAGAAGAAAGAAGAAGAAGAAAGAAGAAGAAAAGAAAGAAGAAGAAGAAGAAGAAGAAGAAGAAGAAAGAAGAAGAAGAAGAGAGAAGAAGAAGAAGAAGAAGGAAGAAGAAGAAGAAGAAGAAGAAGAAGAAGAAGAAGAAGAAGAAGAAGAAGAAGAAGAAGAAGAAGAAGAAGAAGAAGAAGAAGAAGAAGAAGAAGAAGAAGAAGAAGAAGAAGTAAGAAGAAGACGAAGAAGAAGAAGAAGAAGAAGAAGAAGAAGAAGAAGAAGAAGAAGAAGAAGAAGAAGAAGAAGAAGAAGAAGAAGAAGAAGAAGAAGAAGAAGAAGAAGAAGAAGAGAAGAAAGAAAGAAGAAGAAGAAGAAGAAGAAGAAGAAGAAGAAGAAGAAGAAGAAGAAGAAGAAGAAGAAGAAGAAGAAGAAGAAGAGAAGAAGAAGAAGAAGAAGAAGAAGAAGAAGAAGAAGAAGAAGAAGAAGAAGAAGAAGAAGAAGAAGAAGAAGAAGAAAAGAAGAAGAAGAAAGAAGAAGAAGAAAGAAGAAGAAGAAGAAGAAGAAGAAAGAAGAAGAAAAGAAGAAGAAGAAGAAGAAGAAGAAGAAGGAAGAAGAAGAAGAAGAAGAAGAAGAAGAAGAAGAAGAAGAAGAAGAAGAAGAAGAAGAAGAAGAAGAAGAAGAAGAAGAAGGAAGAGAAGAAGAAGAAGAAGAAGAAGAAGAAGAAGAAGAAGAAAGAAGAAGAAGAAGAAGAAGAAGAAGAAGAAGATCCGAAGAAGAAGAAGAAGAAGAAGAAGAAGAAGAAGAAGAAGAAAGAAGAAAGAAGAAGAAGAAGAAGAAGAAGAAGAAGAAGAAGAAGAAGAAGAAGAAGAAGAAGAAGAAGAAGAAGGAGAAGAAGAAGAAGAAGAAGAAGAAGAAGAAGAAGAAGGAAGAAGAAGAAGAAAGAAGAAGAAGAAAGAAGAAGAAGAAGAAGAAGAAAGAAGAAGAAGAAGAAGAAGAAGAAGAAGAAGAAGAAGAAAGAAGAAAGAAGAAGAAGAAGAAGAAGAAGAAGAAGAAGAAGAAGAAGAAGAAGAAGAAAGAAGAAGAAGAAGAAGAAGAAGAAGAAGAAGAAGAAGAAGAAGAAGAAGAAGAAGAAGAAGAAGAAGAAGAAGAAGAAAGAAGAAGAAGAAGAAGAAGAAGAAGAAGAAGAAGAAGAAGAAGAAGAAGAAGAAGAGAAGAAGAAGAAGAAGAAGAAGAAGAAGAAGAAGAAGAAGAAGAAGAAGAAGAAGAAGAAGAAAGAAGAAGAAGAAGAAGAAGAAGAAGAAGAAGAAGAAGAAGAAGAAGAAGAGAAGAAGAAGAAAGAAGAAGAAGAAGAAGAAGAAGAAGAAGAAGAAGAAGAAGAAGAAGAAGAAGAAGAAGAAGAAGAAGAAGAAAGAAGAAGAAGAAGAAGAAGAAGAAGAAGAAGAAGAAGAAGAAGAAGAAGAAGAAAAGAAGAAGAAGAAGAAGAAGAAGAAGAAAGAAGAAGAAGAAGAAGAAGAAGAAGAAGAAGAAGAGAAGAAGAAGAAGAAGAAGAAGAAGAAGAAGAAGAAGAAGAAGAAGAAGAAGAAGAAGAAGAAAGAAGAAGAAGAAGAAGAAGAAAGAAGAAGAAGAAGAAGAAGAAGAAGAAGAAGAAGAAGAAGAAGAAGAAGAAGAAGAAGAAGAAGAAGAAGAAGAAGAAGAAGAAGAAGAAGAAGAAGAAGAAGAAGAAGAAGAAGAAGAAGAAGAAGAAGAAGAAGAAGAAGAAGAAGAAGAAGAAGAAGAAGAAGAAGAAGAAGAAGAAGAAGAAGAAGAAGAAGAAGAAGAAGAAGAAGAAGAAGAAGAAGAAGAAGAAGAAGAAGAAGAAGAAGGTTATCAGGAGAACACTATCAGATCATTTTCAAAAATGACTTTGGTTCCCAGGTCGACCCAGCCTTAAATGCGTTCCAGTTACATTCCTGGGAAGTAAAGGCGGATGCCGTTATGTTGACTATATCACCCCTTCAGTGCCTTGTCTAAAAATATATGAAAAAGGGGGGGGGGGAAGAAGAAAGAAGATGATGATGATGTTGATGAAGAAGAATAGGAAACAGATATTGCCGATGACGACGATGAGCTTTTTTCTTTCTGCCTTACTTTCTATCTATTTTTCTTTCTTTCTTTCTTTCTTTCTTTCTTTCTTTCTTTCTTTCTTTCTTTCTTTCTTTCTTTCTTTCTTTCTTTCTTTCTTTCTTTCTTTCTTTCTTTCTTTCTTTCTTTCTTTCTTTCTTTCTTTCTTTCTTTCTTTCTTTCTTTCTTTCTTTCTTTCTTTCTTTCTTTCTTTCTTTCTTTCTTTCTTTCTTTCTTTCTTTCTTTCTTTCTTTCTTTCTTTCTTTCTTTCTTTCTTTCTTTCTTTCTTTTATCGTAATTTTCTTCTTTTTCTTGTTCTTCTTTTTCTTCTTCTTCTTCTTGTTCTTCTTCTTCTTGTTTTTCTTCTTCTTTTTTCTTCTTCTTCTTTTCTTCCCCTCCTCCTCCTCCTCCTCCTCCTATACCTTCTTCACTTGCAATGAGACAATATCCATTATGTTATAGCCTGCAGGATCACGACCAACTCTAGCAGATTCTGCAAGCTTTCCCAGGGTTTGGTCTCCGCCTTAGGTTGCCAGCCTATTTAATTTTTGAAAGAAACACGAGTTCAATGTAGAATTAGAAACAACAACAACAACAACAACAACAACAACAGAGAATAAGAATCATCAACAGGTCCACAAGTATAGGCGGTCGGAGATGACCATCTTACAAGATCACTGGAATAACGGGTCAAGCGTTTGTTTATAAGACACTCCTGTCTTACGGGTAAGCCATCTTTGTAAGATTTTATTTATCTGTGAACGTGATCACCACACAGTTATAACTTCAACTCTGTGTATATTTGTTATACAATGAAGTAATCACTTTGAGTTTAACATTGCCGTTAAACTGATTAAACAGTTTTAACGGTGTTTCAAAATATTCTCCTCTTCTCTTATCCTTCCTTAAACTCCCAAATTATTTTTTTAAACTTTTCCCAACTGAATCAGAACAACAAAGAATGAATATAACAAACAAAATAAGGGCAAAAGTGAGTTGAAATGTGATTTATAAACCTTAAACAAAAACGAAAGCAGATCAAAAGCTAAACATGCAGTTCAAACAAAAGAATTTTATAAATAGTAAAAATATGATATCAAAACGTCACAAGCTATAACGAAACGTGTTATGAGTCCAGATACCGTGTGCGTTTTGGGGTCCTGGGGAAAGAGGGGGGGGGGGGAACCCCGGCTCACCCTAACAAGCTTCGTAAAAGATGATTAATTAGTGTGTTTCCTTTAAGTCGGTGTGCATCTGCATGAGAGGCCAGGCGCAAACAATTGCAGACAACTTCTTCTTTCTTTGTGTTCACCAGCTATAAACTCTGGTGGAAAGTCCTGGTAGTTCGTCCACTTCTGGACTGCAGTCCTGTTCCAGAAACTGAGTGTTGCATACTAAACCAGATCTGTAAAACAGATATGTGCAAAAACCCCAAGTTCTAGAACAAGCCGAAAGTCCAGAAGTGGACGAACAACCAGAACGTTACGATAGCGTTGACAGCCAGTGAATGTGAAAAAGAAAATATAAATCCAGAGATTTCAATTTACAATCAGAGCTCATTCTTCTTACCTCGGTCTTTCTGCTAGGTTGTCATAGCAACGTTTCTGACATCTCCTGCGAGCCTAGATCAGTGCTAGTGCTGTGTTTGCTTGGTATCGAATCGAAATCGTCCCCAAAGTATTCAGTTTGCGCCACACCGTGCCTTTTGATCACGTAAGGCCCGTTGTGTTTCAGAAACCTGTCCGATTTGGAAACCAGTGAAATATTCTCCTCTTCTTCTTCCTCGTCATCGTCATCATCGTCCTCATCGAAATCTTCATCAATCGGTCTGGCTCCACTAAAAGTCTGTTCTGGCATTTGTCCAGCAGCAGTCATTTCTGCAAGTTCCTTGGCGCTGCAGTTTGGAGTGTCGACAGGAATCGTATTGTGGAACCGAGAGAAATCTATCTGATACTGTCCGTTTTCTTTCTGGAATGTAACAAGCCTTTCAAAGCGATGACCCCACAGAACCTCCCCTGGAAGATACGAACTGCGGGCTTGCGTTGTCATGCCCGTGCTCTCTACAATACCTTCTAGAATGACAATTAGCTCGAATTGTTCTCTGTGAAGGTCCTCAGGGGACAGCTCCCAAAATGGACTGTCTTCGTCTATTTTATGGACAATGATCACCGGCCAGACAAGAAACAAACGGTCCCGCCCCTCGTCAAAGCCGAGATCAACGTCAAACTGATATAAAGGAAGCACGTCGCCTTCTTTGGTGATCTTTTTCTTGATCAAAACGGCTCGTATGTGAGCCTCGACGATCTGTGATTTGCGCATGTCCCCAACGCGCAGGAGAAGACACAAGTCTCCATCTTGTTTGCAGATGCACGCACTTTTACTAAACATCAGTGTCTCTGCACGTTTCTTTGGTCGTGACAGTTTGGCGAAGACGATTCCTGTCATCAGGGCTTGACAAATGACGCCGAAACACGACTGAAACATCATTAAAACAATCGCTTCTGGGCATTCCTCCGTTGTATGCCTGAAACCATAGCCGATTGTGTGTTGTGTTTCTATAGAAAACAGCAGAGCTGAGGTGAAAGACTTGATTTCCAGCACACACGGCTTCCAGTTGCTGTTGTCCAGGTGGTCGAGGTCACCATGAGAGAAGCATACCAGCCACCAGATGAGGGCAAAAATCAGCCAGCTCAAGGTGAAGGCCATAGCAAACAGCATCAGGTTATACCGCCATTTTATGTCCACCAACGTCGTGAAAATATCCGCCAAATACCGGCGTCTGCGCTTGCGGATGTTGGTCTGTGTGATGTTGACCTCGCCGTTCTTGTAGACCAACCTCCGCCGCATGCGCTTGCTGTAGTGGCCGATATTGCGTCGTTGAGCTCCTCCAGGGACGGGGTGCGTGTTGTTGGCCTTTGCTCGCATGTGACGCTGGGCGTACTCCATGAAGGAGTCTTTGGACCCCCGATGAGTTGTGTCCGCCACCTGAAAGAGAATAAGAGTGATAGTAACACTGGTTCAACATAAATGAAAGAATCATCGATATTAATATGATCAACATTGTAGACTGCTCTACAACGGGGGAGGGGGGGGGGGGGGGGGTGCGTGCGTGTGTGTAAAAACAGGGCGGGGGTGCGGGTGCGACATAAATGTGTAGCAACTGCAACATTTATTCAAATTAGCTATCGAACTTTATTTATTTATGTTCGTATTCTTTTAAATTACTTAGGGCAAAAATTACCGAATTAAACAATTTGGTTAAATTTTCCGATGAATGAAGCGTAAACCTAAGACTTGTGTTTTTTGGAAGCAAGGCTTTTTTTTTTTTGTTACTGTTTGGCCGATGGATCGGTCGAGTCGTCTCCAAAGGGTGAACTAACCAACGAGGCTACAGTTGCTCACACAGTGAGACTCTAACACTCCCTCCACAACAAATAATAAATACCACCAGCCCTTATACATACAATCGGAAACTGTTATAACATTATCTGAGTATTATCGGAGACCCGTAGGCATCGTCGCTGGAGCTATGGTGTTCATGCTCTGTGTGACGCTCTTGGCAGGCGACTACCTCCTCTGCAGAGAGAGAGAGAGAGAGAGAGAGAGAGAGAGAGAGAGAGAGAGAGAGAGAGAGAGAGGTCGAATCGTATGGAATAAAACCTAATGCAACGAAGTCGTCCCTCGCAACTTAACTGATTATAATGATATTAATAAAGGACCCGTTTCCACGCCTTCAGGTATATTGGGCACATAGGGCTAGTCCTATATTTTATAGACCAATCGGCACTTGGTGGGCAATGTGGTCAGCATCACGGCGACCACCTTTACTTCACCAGACTGTGCCTGGTATCCACTCAAGGCTGGGTCGACCTGGGAGCCAAGGTCATTTTTGACAAACGCCCGGCCCCGTCAGGACTCGAACCCACGACCTTCCGATCCGCAGGCGAGAATCTAGCCGCTACACCAAAGTTGTGAGGTAAATAATAAATTTTTTGTAGTGGCGGAAGAGGGAGGGGGGGGGGGGGGAGCTCAGCCAACCTTTTTCAATATATTTACTGTAGGGGTAAGGCGGGAAAAGGGGGGGGGGGGGTGTTAGCCAACCTCTTTCAATATATTTACTGAAGGGGTGAACAAGTGGGAAAGGGGGGGGGGGGACTTAGCCAACCTCTTTCAATATATTTACTGAAGGGGTGAGAAAGTTGGGGGGGGGGGAGGGAGGGGGGGGGGGTTGCCTTAGCCAACTTCTTTCAATATATTTACTGTGGGGGTGAAAAAAAGGGGGGGGGGAGGGAGTCCCCAGTCAAACCCTTTTGTGTAAAAGGAGGGGGGGGGGGGGTTACAGGTTTATATTTTGGTGCCCCTAATTAATGTGATATCCAAGTGTTCAACTTGTTGAAAATATCCGATTCCCTGACATCAGACTGTAAACTGACACATGGCTGCCGGGTATTTAGCTAACACGATTCCTGTCATGTCAGAAAAAGAAAAAACAAAATACATGGCACATGAGCAATGGAAGAATGTCTTTTTCCCAAGACAATGAATGATGGCGCAGAAAGGAAGGAACCAGCTGGCAGATGGAGGGAAAAAAAACTGTGTCCTAATTGGCAGGTTGAGCCTTAGCTGCAGATGACCGGCCTAATGTATCGCGGTGACTGTGTTAATGCCCTTAGAGGGGTAGAATAATAATAATAATAAAATAATAATAATAATAATATTAATAATAATAATAATAATAATAATAATAATAATAATAATAATAATAATAAGAAGAAGAAGAAGAAGAAGAAGAAGAAGAAGAAGAAGAAGAAAGAAGAAGAAGAAGAAGAAGAAGAAGAAGAAGAAGAAAGAAGAAGAAGAAGAAGAAGAAGAAGAAGAAGAAGACGAAGAAGAAAAGAAGAAGAAAAGAAGAAGAAGAAGAAAGAAGAAGAAAAAAGAAGAAGAAAAAGAAGAAGAAGAAAAAAGAAGAAGAAGAAGAAGAAGAAGAAGAAGAAGAAGAAGAAGAAGAAGAAGAAGAAGAAGAAGAAGAAGAAGAAGAAGAAGAAGAAGAAGAAGAAGAAGAAGAAGAAGAAGAAGAAGAAGAAGAAGAAGAAGAAGAAGAAGAAAAAAGAAGAAGAAGAAGAAGAAGAAAAAGAAGAAGAAAAAGAAGAAGAAAAAGAAGAAGAAGAAGAAGAACAAGAAGGAGATAGAGGGGTAGGAGGCTCTACGATTTTGTGAGCATCGTGTCCACATCACTGCTAAGAATGCGAAAAGTGGGAGTAAAGATTGGCACACCTGAGCATGAGAGGCACACTGGGCGTATAAGACGTCCTGCGCTGGGGTATAGGGTGTTTGTAAAGCATCACTACACTATGCATGCAGATCACATTTGAAAAACCCAAGTACATGATGTCATCAACAAATTTGCTTAAAAAGTCGTTGAATTAGTTAAAACAGTTACCGCAAAGGCTTAATGCTGCTTTTGGGGAAGCTGGAAAGTTTCAATGAAATAGTCATTATAACTTAAACAAATTTCTAACTAATGCGATTAGGAGGTTGTTTATTGAGACATCTTGATAGAATTCTTTGAACAACCATCCGCATATATCAACCGCCCTTTTGAAACACCTGTTCAACCATAAAAATTATTTGTTTCCTTAATAACACCATTTTGTTTTGAGTACAAATAATCACTCAAGCAGACCACAGCAGTTCACTTTATACTGTTTAACAACGGAACCTAGAGCACATTTTCTGATGACGTTATGCACTTCGTTTCGCAAATTTATTCTACATACACAGTGTAGGGAGACTTTAAAAACACCCTGTATGTTTTGAAGGGGGAATATGAGCACAGATGGACGTGCCCGGAACGCCGTGAAGATAATCAAGCTGATAGCTATGTGTGCTGTATTCACAATGACGGTTGGCTGTAGTGCAAATATGGCTGTCTTTGGGAATGTTGCCTAGTGATGGCCCATTTTCTCCCACGATGAGATTCTCGTACTGTCGGAAAGCTATGAGATCGGTCCTCTTTCTCAACCGCCGGAAGCCGAAAATACAACTCTGAAAAATGAAGAACCACTTGCACGCCCTTGACATATTGATGAGATGATACTAGACTCATATCTTTGTAACACGATCGGCATTTGATGGGCGATGGGTTCAACATCACGCCGGTCGCCTTTACTTCCGAAGATTTTTCAGCTGGTGGCACTGGAACTAGAAGATTAACACAACAAAGTCAGATATGATACCCTTCTGGATATGGATGCCTGTTCCTGGATCGTAGATTTGGTTGCAGCGGTCCTAGATTAACGTCAGATTGCATTTTGAGTCTATGGAGCTATGAAACATGTTGTATTGCCACAAGGCTTCTGCAGAATCCTGCCATTTCGCCAGTGATTTTTTAGTGTATGCACAAGCGGTATAGAGACAATGGAGGCTGTTGGTTACTGAAAGAATTGTAACTTTTGCCGAGCATGTCACAGTTTACAGATGAGGAGAAACGTCACCATCCAAAGTAGATCCTTTACAGAACGTCGCTCTCATCCAGTCCCTTTGAAAGAAACTGGCGTCCTCGTTAGCTCTGTAATCCTGTAACCTCCACCACTGTTCTCTCCAATCCACCGTGGCTTTTGAAACAGACAATGCGTTCCATTTTCGAAGACAAAATGCTGTTTACCAGCCAACTGTACTTCATGGTCATAACTTTTAGAATGTCAGTATTTCTATTTTTTTTCATAGTGCATGTATTCTAACAGTCAATATTTATGAACAAATATTGTTTGTATGAAGCGCGCGCGCACGCACGCACGCACACCCACAAGATATAACTGGTGTGTGTGTGTGTGTGTGTGTGTGTGTGTGCAGAAGAAATATAGACAGTTATCTTCTGTTTTGTTGTGCAGAAAAATGGATATATAGAGTTAACTCCTGTTTGTGTAGGAATATATAGAGTTAACTGCTGCTTGTGTAGGAATATATAGAGTTAACTGCTGTTTGTGTAGGAATATATAGAGTTAACTGCTGTTTGTGTAGGAATATATAGAGTTAACTGCTGCTTGTGTAGGAATATATAGAGTTAACTGCTGTTTGTGTAGGAATATGTAGAGTTAACTGCTGTTTGTGTAGGGAAATGTAGAGTTAACTGCTGTTTGTGTAGGAATATATAGAGTTAACTGCTGCTTGTGTAGGAATATATAGAGTTAACTGCTGCTTGTGTAGGAATATATAGAGTTAACTGCTGTTTGTGTAGGAATATATAGAGTTAACGGCTGCTTGTGTAGGAATATATAGAGTTAATTGCTGCTTGTGTAGGAATATATAGAGTTAACTGCTGTTTGTGAAGGAATATGTAGAGTTAACTGCTGTTTGTGTAGGAATATGTAGAGTTAACTGCTGTTTGTGTAGGAATAAATAGAGTTAACTGCTGTTTGTGTAGGAATATATAGAGTTAACTGCTGCTTGTGTAGGAATATATAGAGATAACTGCTGCTTGTGTAGGAATATATAGAGTTAACTGCTGCTTGTGTAGGAATATATAGAGTTAACTGCTGCTTGTGTAGGAATATATAGAGTTAACTGCTGTTTGTATAGGAATATATAGAGTTAACTGCTGCTTGTGTAGAAATATATAGAGATAACTGCTGCTTGTGTAGGTATATATAGAGTTAACTGCTGTTTGTGTAGGAATATATAGAGTCAACTGTTGTTTGTGTAGGAATATATCGAGTTAACTGCTGCTTGTGTAGAAATATATAGAGTTAACTGCTGCTTGTGTAGGAATATATAGAGTTAACTGCTGCTTGTGTAGGAATATATAGCGTTAACTGCTGTTTGTGTAGGAATATACAGTCTGCTGCTTGTGTAGGAATATATAGAGTTAACTGCTGTTTGTGTAGGAATATATAGAGTTAACTGTTGTTTTTGTAGGAATATATAGAGTCAACTGCTGCTTTTGTAGGAACATATAGTTAACTGTTGTTTTTTTAGGAATATATAGA